AAGGCAGCAACAACCCAGCGGGCGGGCGGCGTGACGACTTAGCCTGGCAGCATTGGGAACTGGCGGTGACATAATCCGTAACGTCTTTGATCAAAGAGGACCACCAGAAGTGGGCCCGAACCAGCCTCAGCGTCCTGCTGACTCCAGGGTGAAAAACAAGGCGAGAGTTATGACAGAACCCAAGTACCTTGGGCACGAGGCGCTCCAGGACAAAGCACCGGTCGGGGGGACATGAAGCCGGGGCAGGAAGATCCTTGGTGGCATCTCTGACCTCTCCTTCAAGCTCCAACATAGTTAAGGACAGCCTGACGGACTCCGGGAGTATAAACTCATCCTTGCCATTAGTCACACACTCAGGAGGCTCCTGCATCCTGGACAGGGCATCCGGTTTGCCGTTCTTGGTTCCGGGCCTGAAAGACAATGTGAAATTAAACCGTCCAAAAAACAGAGCCCACCTGGCCTGCCGGGGGTTAAGGCGTTTAGCCGACCTCAGATACTCCAGGTTTTTATGGTCCGTCCAGACGAGAAACGGTTCCTTGGCCCCCTCCAGCCAATACCTCCACTCCTCTAGGGCCATCTTGATGGCCAGGAGTTCTCGGTCCCCCACATCATAGTTGCGCTCTGCCTGTGATAAAGTCCTGGAAAAAAAAGCACAAGGGTGAACACGACCCTCAGGGCTCCTCTGGCTCAGGACCGCGCCAGTCCCCGTGCTAGAGGCATCAACCTCCATGATAAATTGTCTCTCGGGGTTGGGGGACCGTAAAACTGGAGCAGAAGTAAACATAGTCTTGAGCCTGACGAAGGCTTTCTCGGCCACCTCATCCCAGACAAACCTTACTCTGGAAGACATGAGGGTGTTAAGAGGTGCTGCAACTTGGCTATAGTTCCAGATGAAGCGCCGGTAGAAATTTGCAAACCCCAAAAATCTCTGTAGCTGCTTACGGTCTGCAGGAGAGGGCCACTCCACAACAGCTTTAACCTTGGAGGGATCCAAGATTACTTGGTTAGGGGAGATGATGAACGTGAGAAACGAAGTGGTGGTAGTGTGAAATTCACACTTCTCCGCTTTGACAAACAAATGGTTTTGGAGAAGGCGGAGGAGGACAGCTCGGACATGACTCCTATGGGTTCCTAGATCTTGGGAATAGATCAGGATATCATCGAGGTAAATGAAAACAAACTGTCCCACCATGTCCCTCACCACATCATTCACCAAAGACTGGAAAACAGCAGGTGCATTGGTCAATCCAAAAGGCATGACTGGATACTCATAGTGACCAGTGGGGGTGTTAAAAGCAGTCTTCCACTCATCTCCCTCCTTAATCCGGATCAAATGGTAAGCATTCCGTAAATCTAATTTGATGAAAATCTTGGCACCCTGTATGTGGTCAAAAGCTGTATTCATAAGAGGAAGGGGGTAACGATTCTTAACAGTGATGTCATTTAAACCCCTGTAGTCAATACACGGTCTTAGGGACCCATCCTTCTTCCCCACAAAAAAAGAAACCAGCCCCAGCTGGAGAGGAAGAGGGTCTGATAATCCCAGCTTTAAGGGAGTCTTCTACATATTTTTTTATGGCTTGCTGTTCGGGCCCAGACAATGAATAGAGACGTCCCCTAGGGGGAGACGTACCAGGAAGGAGATCGACAGAGCAATCATAGGGCCTGTGAGGTGGGAGAGTGGTAGCCCGAGACTTGTTAAAAACCTCCCTCAGAGTGTGATATTCGGAAGGAACTTTGGACAAGTCTGGGTAAGTCTCTTCAATGGCGTTATCGGGAACCACGTAAGTACTGGCTGAGGATAAACAGGTAGCGGAACAGGTCCTAGCCCAGCCCAAAATTTTGTTGACCTACCAATCAATATGGAGGTTGTGTTTCTTGAACCACGAGGCTCCCAAAACAATGGGCAAATTGGGAGAGTTAATAACCATGAACGAAACCTCCTCCTGATGATTGCCACCCAGTGTCAGACTGACCTTCTCCGTCCGAAAATGAGACCTGTTCATGCTGTGTCCATCCAGGGGCAGAACCTTTGGGTGTCAGACATAGGGATGAGTCTTATGCCATGATCCTTGGCAAAGGTCTCGTCCATGAACTCTGTGTCGGCCCCAGAATCAATAAACACCGACACCTGATGAGTAGCAGAGGAGATAACAATATTGGCAGGAATAACATGCAGAGACAGACAGGTTACGGCTCAGTAGAGTTCTCCTCACCTCTACTGAGCCTGTACCTTTTACCGGACACTTAAGAAGCAATGTGCCTCTGAACAGTGATTTTTTTTTAAAACCCCCTGTAGTCAATACACAGTCTTGGGGACCCATCCTTCTTCCCCACAAAAAAAAAACCCAAAGCCCCACTGGAGGGGAAGAGGGCCCGGGAAAATTTCCCCATTTTTAAAGGGGAGTCTTCTCATACTTTTTCATGGCTTCTGTTCGGGCCCAGACAATGAATAGGCTTTCCCTAGGGGGAAGTTACAGTCCTCTCTCCCTGCCTTAAGGACAGCAAGCCCCTGGCGGCCTCACGGCTGGGGGAGAAACGGGGTCAAAACACCCTGACGATTTCCCTTTGGGAAAAGGGGCAGCGTAGGAAGCACAGGCCACTGAGTCATTCTGCCATTCCCCCTGTCCCCCACTGTTTTGCTTTGCCGGGACAATAAAGAGATCACATAGGCCACCCTGGAGGGGGCGCTCTGAAGGAAAAACGAGGAGGGCTTTAATTTCAAAATGGAATCTCACATTGTGTCAGGGAAGGCACGACACGGGCAGGATCTCCTTTAAATAGTTCAGGAGGAGTTAATCTAGGTTCTTTAACCATGGCAGGCGGGACCCCCCAAGCTAGTGGAAAGGCTGTGAGGTCCGCTTGGATATGAAACCCCCCCCCCCCCCCCCCCCCCCCCCCCCCCCATGAAGCGTAGCATGGAGATTATTTCAAACATGCCGGAATCAAGACGGGCAATGGAGTTATCGACAGTAGCGCGCCATTGTTGTGCTGGCGATGGGGTCCATTTTTTGGCCAGATTTTTCTATTATAAAATAGGACTGAGAACCCCAAAAATTTCAGGCCAGACACAGATAAAAAGGGGTAAATGTTTTTTTGATCCAGGAAACCATTCCCCGGTAACCACCAATAAGGTCCAGGGGAAAAACTAGGAATAGAGAAAAAATTAGAGGCTAAAAGGATTTCAGATAATTCTGAAAACCAAAGCCACTAACCTTCTCTGATCCTGTTTGAGGAAAAGTGGGCAAGGAAGTGGCTTTCTCCGAGGGAAAAATGGCTGATCCAGAGAACCGTCCAGAATTTCCGTGGGAGGCAGGCAAGCTGTTTGATGTCGGATTGCCGCATGATACAGAACTAAGACTCCAGGTGAAAGAGGGAGAGGGAACAAAGCTCAGGCAGACCGATCCGAGGGCTGGGCAGAAGCATAAATCCGGGGGCAGAAACAGAGTCGAAAAACCCGGCTAGAGACGTCCGTAAAGGGGAAAGGCAGGAGGGGGGAATCTGGGAAACAAGACATTGGTTCAGGAAACGAGATCAGGCAAAAATAAAGGCTGGAAAATTTCTCACTGTGAAGCTTTCAAAAAACGGCGCCGTCTGCCTGTCAGAGACTGTATTTAACTGCAGTTCAACAGGTGTGTTTTGGCATGAAAAGGGGATTACGCTGCAGCAGAAACAGCAGGTCAGTGAAGCAGGTGAGTTGATTACATGCAGGGGAGGGAGGGCAGAGTGGAGCAGAGCAGGCAGACGGGCCAGAAAAAAATCATAACCTTCTCAGCCTTCTACTTGCAGCTGTGTGAGACAATAATTGTATGCCACTCTGTTAAGGTTATGTCTTGGGACAACAGGTCTCATGAGACTCACCTTGAAAACTGTTGTAGCTTATAGGAGAACTTTTACTTTGTCTAGTCAGAATGATTTGGCAGCACTACTGAGCACATCTCCAATGCTGTAAAATCCTTCTCTCTTGCAAGATTCTAATAAAGCTGATTCTGAGTGACAATCATCAGTCTGGATGCGAATTTTTCTACAACAATGGTGTTTTGGTTGCAGATATTTAGGCTGTGCATGGCTGTGAAACTGACTTGGAAGGAGAGCCCAGGTTGCACTGTGCCACCTAGATCGTCTCTAAAGTCACCTGGTCTGTTTTAATAGTAGGGTTTTGCAGTTGCCAGTAAAAAAAAATCTTTGCTTTTTTTTTTTTTCCCCCCTCAAGAGTGCCATTTTTTTCTTGACATGTTTGACGGAGCAACCGAGTCTTGATCTGGAAAAGTTGGCCTTTCTGGGTCATACCATGTAACTTGGGTAGGGTTTTTTAATTTTTTTTTCATGTACATGCAGGGGAGCCTTTTGAACATTTTTCAACTTAACACACCAGAGCTTCTAATATTCTAATATCATTTCTGCATTGAGCCTCATGATTATATGCTATAGTTTATACACTGAACTTTAAGAGTTGTTGATGTCAAGTGTGAGCAATTGATCTACCCATTCAGAAGATGGAGCACCTGGATATGTGCCACTTGTTAGTCGTTGGCCCACCTGGCTGATATTTATAGTGTTTTGGTGGCAGATATTTAGGCTGTGCATGGCTGGGAAACTGACTTGGAAGAAGAGCCCAGACTGTACTGTAGATGCTACCTAGATCATATCCAAAGTCACCATGTCCGTTTTAATGTAGGTTTTGCAGTTGTCTGTACTGACAACTGCAAAACCCTACATTAAAACTCTTTGCTTTCCTTGTCTTGTTCTCAAGACTGCCAGTTTTTCTGGACATTGTTGACAGAACATTGAGTGTTAGTTTGGACAGCTGGCTTTTCAGGGTAATGCTAGGTACATCTGAGTAGGCTGTTATTTTTTTATGTACATGTTTAAACTAACCTGGCTGCATGACATCTAACAACTATGCCACTCAGCCTTGCTTTTTGAAACACGTCTGTTCTTCAACAGCGCCTGGGCGTCCGTGTACCATGTCGTCAATGACTGCTTCCTGTAGGTGTGCTGCCCCAGTGGCCTAATGGATAAGGCACTGGCCTCCTAAGCCATGGATTCAAGTCCCATCTGCGGTGAGAGCTGAATGGCCCAGTGGAAGCATGCTGGTCTTTGACCCAGAGGTCGATGGTTTTGAAGACATCCTCTCTATCCATTGATCTCTTTGTACAAAGAAATCAGTCATCCGGATTTAAATCTGCTCATATGGTAAACTCAGAGACTAGTTGCTCTTCTATTCCTGAAAGGGGTGAGGAAATGTTTCTTCTCTCCTGTGCATTGACTGCTGATCTTTTACTCTACCCTTGGAAGAGTGTGTGCACTGGTAGGTCCACTGGAAAGCATCACGGCTTCTACTCATCTTGTCGTTGTGCTTTTCGCCAAGGAAGAAGTCCCAAAAAATGGTCAGTGACTCTAAGACATGAAGAGTTGCTTTTTCCAACACTTTGACGCTTAAATATCAAAACCCTCCAATGTAAATATATTACCTACTTAGATGTTTGTATAACTGTGATGCGAAAAGAGATTTTGCAAGGAAATAAATGTCCACAGAGCTAAATCAGCAAGATAATATTTGTATTCTGGTTGACATATAGCAGTACCTAGTAAACCAGTTGATGGTAATGCCAACCATGAGACTTTTTGAAAGTATGAACAGCGTGGAGACAGAGTTTGCATTTAAGAATGACCTGTGTAGGGTAAAAGGGGGAATCTTCCCCCGCCAGGGGACCATTTGAACATTTTTTTTCAATGCAACACAAAAGAGCTTCTAACATTCTCATTTCATTTTGTGCATTGACCCTCATGCTTATACGGTATAGTTAATACACTGAACATTAAGAGTTGTGGAAGACAAGTGCGAGCAATTGATCTACCCATTCGGAAGATGGAGCACTTGGGTATGTGCCACTTATTAGTAATTGAGCCAGCTGACCGATATGTATGGTGTTTTGGTCGCAGATATTTAGGCTGTTTTAATGTAGGGTTTTGCAGTTGCCAGTACAAACTCTTTGCTTTTCTTCTTTTCTCCTCAATAGTGGAATGGTTTCAACACTCGGACAACCGAGATGTTGATCTGGACAGTTGGCCTTTCTGTTCATACCATGTACATCTGGGTAGGTTGTTAAATATCTTTCATGTACATGCAGGGGAGCCTTTTGAACATTTTTCAACGTAACACATATAATAGAATTTTTCTTATCAAGTGGGAGAGAAATTAGCTCACAATAAGAGACAATCCGGACTTTGTCTTATACTCTGATTTTATTCAAAGGCATATTCTTCTGTGGTTTGAAGACGCCTGTCACTGTGTGTATGAACAGAGGCCCCGTAACACAGTTTATATAGACAGTATTTATAGCAGAATGGAAGTGTTGTCTCCAGCTTTCAAAAGTTTAACTTTGGAACGCCTACCCTGCCCAGTGACATGTGGATCCAGACTAATCATTATGAGCTCCCATCTGCCCTCCCTAATAGTGTTACCATAACCATTTCAGGAAATGGCTAGAGGGCCATCTGCTCTAAAAGCAGAACCACTATAAAAACACTGAGGGTCGAGGAGAGGTAATGAAAGTTCACAGGCAGGGAGGCACTTTGGAATACTGGAGCTACAAAATAAAAGAATTTCCAATACAACTCTTTCTTGCCTTGATTACAAGAGGAATCTCAACGAAAAGTGAAACTCTTCAAACCATCACCCAGATTATAATCCAAGTAAAACCAAAAAACAAAGACAACACTATTTAATAATCATCAAAATCAAACGAGGAAAATAAAATTCTCAAATCTTTACTCCAGTCCCAATTTATCTGGATACTTATCATGTTATTAGACCATCAGGATAAATACAACACTGTTCTCACAAATAATGACAATCACCACCCCTCTCAGCTAAGAGGTAATCCAAAGTACTCCTATGCCAATAGCTCCTCCTTTTTTTGCCTGTTTGAACATTGTCTTGCCTTTCTAATAATGGATCTGAATGAATCATATGGTAGCTGAATAACAATTTCCTCCAGACCAATAGCAGGGCGAGATACAGATGTGATCTATTTTCCGCAACACCACAACAGACCAAACCATGTTCTAGGACTAACGATACCCATCTTCTACTAGCAAAAGTTAAAAGAAAACCCTGGTTAATTTGCGCTGCATGAGCCATACAATTAACTTCCCTTACAATTAATTCCATATTAACCCCAAAAATCTATAAAAATTCCTGTTGCAGCACATATTAAATTATCTCACTAGAAATCTACTAACATTTCTGCTTTGCCTACAATTTATTCCTCACCCAAGGAAAAATAACCATCCACCAGACTGGTTATGTGCCAATCTGGAAAAAAAGTAGTTAGAATAGAAGCAGTTTTCATAGGAACAGGTTGTACCACCATGGGGATCATTAATAGCATGTGGAATCAACAACAAACATAACAACTGTCATTCCTTATCTGCCTCACAGTTGATGCATCAAGTGATGAATCCCGTGCTTCGAATCAAGCTGATGAAGTATTCTTGGCGTACATTACTCAGATAGTCCCACATTTGTCTTAGCTGTACCTTTCCCACATAACCACCGGGTAATAAACTTGGCAATACTCAATCATTAGGCATCAGAAACAAACCTCTCTTCCATATAGCTTCATCGTGGCCTTTCTTTCTGGTACTGAAAGCAAACATGTTTTTGAAAGAAACAAATCATAAACAAATTTAAAAATCCTGCTTCCTCTCCTGAGTGGTTCTCGCTTCCAAGGCGGCCCTGTATTACCAAGCTGTACAGTGGGCTGCTCGTTGAACCTCCTCTAGTAGGAGGTTCAGAACTTCGGATGGCTGCTCAGTGGTGTTCCCCTATGAACACCTTCCAGTGTGATATAGACCCAGGTGTAACGTTCTGCTACTTGACAACGGTGTAAGGATCCTGATATGGGCCATCCCAGCTCCTGATTCAAGTGTTGTTCACCTGGAATCACGGAGTGGAGTTTGGAAAAGTGGCTGTTTTTCAGTAATGCAGCTTTTGCAATCTTGTTAAACCTGAAAACCCAGTGGGCAGGTTTTGACAGTAAAAACAGTCATCCTCTCTTCACACCAGATGTGGAAGGTAGAAATCTTAGCATATCCCCATGCCCAATTAGGAGACCTGTCAAACATCACTTCAAAGTATCAATCGTAAATGAAAACAATAAGCAGAGCCTTCAACAACCCTTGGCTAATTTTTATTTCACAGTCCCATTCTCAAGACTAGGTGCTTATACATGCCTTCATCAAACCTCCAGCTAAATCAAGAAAGAATTAATCTTCTAAACTAAAAAAAAACTAGTATACTAGCAGTGATCTCAGCTAATATCTGAATAATTAAAACAATGTGAAATATGATTTTGAGAAGGCCTGATTACAGGTCATTATTTCCATAGTTTCAGATACCCAAGGAAAATGTTAAAAATGTCAATATCTGTGGAGATGTAAATTTCACAAAAGAATCAAAAACCATACTTTCAGACGGTTTTCAGAATGTGATTCCTAGGAGCTATGTCACCATTTATATAAACAAAGTACGTCTCTTCCACTTTGTCACTAAGTCCTCATTGTAGGTATGAGCATACCATATTTTTGCATGAGTGTAAAACTTTTTGTAATTCCATGTTTATTTCATTCTTTATCTCTGCATTCCCCTCTTTCTAGGCGGCAGGGGTCCAACCATGCGAGAATCCAGCAAAAAGTATAGAAACACTTCTAGTCACCATGATCACATTACATAAAACCACAGAAATGAATTCTGACAAAAGGTGACACTATGAATTACCATAACGCACATAAAGGAATAAATCCAGATGTTTCTACCGTAATTCAGTTCCATTAACAAACAAAACGCAAACTTCAGTTGTTGTGCAGTACTCAATGTCTCAACTTTGAATAAGTCACATATCATACTGATTTGTCTTTGTATGAAGAATGATTATTAGATTAATGGACATCCAATGTAATTGTGATGGGCATAAAAAAAGTTACATAAAAAAGTTAATCTGATAAATAATTCAATCACCAAATTGAAGTATGACTTAGATTCTTGATCAAAATATTCTCTTACTTTTAGCAATATCTTAAACTGTCAGTTAGCTTAATGGCACCAGGGAAAACTTTCCAACTAATAAATACCATGATCCTGCATGCATAAACTAATTCTTTCAAGTAGTTTAACTATGTTTCAATTACCTTTATATAAAAAAAAAAAAACCCATAAATCTAAATGGAATGCTACATCCTAAATTATATACAAAAAAACATGTTAAGGCAGAAATCACTACAAGCATTTTTGATTCTATGTCTCTTAAACAGTGTTAAAACGCAGGAAGAGGAGGTGCTGAGGCACAACCTTTAAACGCAAGGCATGAACAAACCTGATAGAGGCAGAGTCAGCAGAACTAGCTCTCTTGGTACAGGCCTATAGCGGGCCCACAGTTTCTTCATTCCAACCCATCTTAGTGTACCTTAAACTGTAAAACTGTTAACACACCTACCTCAAAAACAAGCTGCTTCTTAATTCTCCTGAAAACTCAAGGTTTTAATCAATCTGGGATTTAGAAACATTATTCTAAACATGCATTATTATGTCATGCAACACATAAACAAACATTCAGTCCCAACAAAACAAAGACAAAACATCAAAGACAGGCAAAATGGCCAAATTTGAAGCTTTAAGAATTCAAAGAATTTTAAACATTCTCTTTTCAAAATATGTTTTCTCAGCCATATCTCTTAATACTGTAATTGATCAATTTTATTATGACAATCTTCAGGATCCTTTTTAAAATGAGTGCCCATAGTCCAAAGAGATCTCAAACTATCTAGAAGCACAGCAACAGTTTTGTCTAACATGAATCCAGATTTACTGATGCTGAAACCCTTTGCCAATTCTTATACGTAAACCCTGTAATAATAATAACTACAATCCTGAGAGTTATTGTTTCTAGTTCTCTTTTTTTTTTTTTGCTCAATTGAATCCCAGCTGTATTCAAGAATTTCCTCTGCTCAGGTTAATGCAAAGAAGTATTTTAGTCGGCATTGACATCTTTATGGTATACAC